TTTAAAATAATTTTTCATTAACCGGCCAGCCACAGCACGAGCGTACCACGGGTCGGTGTATCTGGGCGGTAAGATCTACGTGATCGGCGGCTTTGACGGCACTGAGCAGTTTAGCAGTGTGCGCGTGTTTGACCCCGAGACACGTGCCTGGGCTGAGAGCGCGCCCATGCACCACAAGAGGTGTGTGTGAGAGAGAGAGAGAGAGAGAGAGAGAGAGAGAGAGAGAAGTGATAAAGAAACTGAGCTTGCTTCCATTATTTGTGTTTGTTATGTTTATTCAAGCTACTTATTTTCGTCAGTTGAACTGCATTCCAAAATTCCAAAAACCCGATCAGAATAATCGTAAAGTTGCATGCACAATTTGATTGCAAATAATTTTTGTTTGTGTTATGTAGGCATGTAGTTCACTTTTTCCAGGTGTTACGTGAGTGTCGTGGTCTGTGAGGAGCTTATCTACGCCATGGGAGGTTATGACGGCCGTCATCGTATGAACACAGCAGAACGCTATAACCCCAAGTACAACCAGTGGTCCTTTATCTCCCCCATGCACCAACAGAGAAGTGATGCCTCGGCTGCCACCTTAGATGGTGAGAGAGTGATGCTAACAGACTTAAGGATACATTAATATGCTAATGACTTTTTTGTCAAAAATAAAACAAATGTTAAATGAGTAAACGAAAGGATAATGAACATTCCTTCTTAGGTAGTCCCAACCATTTTCTGTTCTACTAAAATATTGCTAAAGCAAATGTTCATCGTCAATCAGATATATTTATTTATTTATTGATCTGTTTATTTATTTTTAAGGAAATGTATACATAGTCGGCGGGAAATGAGTGCCTGAGTGCCGCGGAGTACTACACGCCAGCAACCAATCAGTGGACAGAAATCACGCCAATGCGGAACAGACGAAGCGGAATTGGTAAGTTAGAGTAAAGGCATATTTGGTTCATCATTAAAAAAAACATTTTGAAAAGTTAAACAGTCATGTTCATTGTGCAATATTCATTTTACCACCTGTCTTACTGACTTTCGTGAGCAACATTAAACAGGACTGAGAACAGATTTCACATTGCTTATTATTATTATTATTATTATTATTATTATTATTATTATTATTATTATTATTTTTATTATTATTATAAGGGATCACGGCATTCAGGGGCCACATCTTTAACGGCATAGTTCGCATGAATTCTGCAGAACGCTATGATCCTGTAAAAAAGACCTGGACGCCCATAGCTGAGATGATGACACCTAGGAGTAACTTTGCAGTTGAGGTGAGTGTCTCTCTCTCTCTCTCTCTCTCTCTCTCTCTCTCTCTCACACACACACATGCAGTTGTACATAGCTTGTTTGAACTTTAATTCCTGTTCAGAGTACAAAATGCATTTTATGCCCCATCACCCCCTTAATAAAATCCTGACCAGCAAGTGTTTAGTTCTAACACGTATGATTAAGACAAACATAACCGGACGTGAGTTACCATTCTCAAAAAGCGATTTTTATACAAATAAAATATCAGTCAAACGAAAAACTATAAATAAATCATCAGAAGTAAACAAAAGAAAAAGGTTATTCGGGTTTTATGAAGTCTTCCAGGTAATAGATGACCAGATATTTGCCATTGGTGGTTTTAATGGAATGACAACAGTGCTCTACGTTGAGTGTTATGACTACCTCGCCAATGACTGGTAAGTTATTTCTCAATCCGGCGCACAGTTTGGGCAACAGGCTGAGCTACCGACCGCAGTCTTGCTTTGGAATCAGTGCACGCTTGTTCTCCACTTAAAGGGATAATAACTCTTTGTTTCTGCCAAAAAATGAATTTTCCTGGAGTAAACAACAATTTCCCATAGTTACCAATGGTTAATAAATCCATTTTTACATTCAAATTTAGTCCCTGGCTTTTTTTCTAAAAAGTTTGTTTTTTTGTTAAAATCTCTCTTAAGAGAGATTTTAACACAGTATAGCCATCGATGGAGGTCACGTGGTCTAAAGACAAGCTCAGATGTCAGAATAATAGCTATAACTGCAGTTTTTTGTGTTAAAACAGAATATATTATATTTCTATGAGTTATTCACCATGTTTTTATTGTGAAATATAGATCTCATACGAAGAGTTATTATCCCTGTAATTCAGTGCATAAAATGAGACACAAATCTCTCAAAACCGAGAACTCTGCTCTTAGCGCATGCGTGGTAGATGAACTTCCTAATGCGCAGGTCCGACAGTACCTGGGTAAAGAGCGGGAACATTTGTTGGATCCAGCGATTCCTCCAGCAGACGACACTCAGGTGGACTACATCCGAGAGCAGGGCACGGCGTCGTCTGCTTTTTAGAGGAAAACGATAAAACAAAGATGGGCGCAATTGTATAATTCTTGAAACATAAAACATCATTTGTTGAATCCTTTAACATAAAAATATGGTTAACAAAAGGTTCAAAATATAATTGTTGCTTAATATCACATCATGCAGATATCTTTTATCGCTGCTTTGTTCTATGGTGTCCTATTATAATTTTCCTGGGGGGAACGAAGTCGTTATTTTAGTTCATGTATATTTACTTTGACCTAATTTTAATACATTTGTGAAAAAGTTATCATATCGACTTGTTTTTATTTCGTCACCGTGTCCCAAGTGATTTATTTTGCACCCTTTATTTACTAGGACACTTTTCAATAGAAACATGTAACTACAAGTTTAAAAATCATGCATTTAAAATTAATGGTGGAATATCGGAAATACAAAACATGGCCATGATTATACATGGTGTAAGCACTACATTTAGCTTGAAACTTAAAGGTACATATGAACTCAGTAACGGTTGAGTGTGGATTCCCAGTAACGTATATAAACCACTTCTATTAGATTCTTACACGTCTCAAATTAAGGGATAAATCAACTATTTATTTGACATATTTCAATACGAAATAAATCTTTGGAGCCGTTCCCATAAACTTATTGCACTAGCTGGATCAATCTAACTCGGGGAATCTCAATAAATTGCATCCAGTTTCAGTCGGGAAAACCTTGGTCCATGGTGTTGTTCAGGGGGCGTGTCAGTCAATTAAGCTGACTGCACTGACTGGGCCTTAGCGTGAATCCCGGCTGATATATGTCGACCCTGCTAGTACGATAAGGTTATCGGAACATAGTCTATAATGAGGTCTATTAATACACCGCCAGGGAACAAGGTGGACTTTGCTGGTGTTCTATAGTTATTGACACCATCGCAACATCGGCTGATATCCTTGTGTTGACTATATATGACAAAATTCAGGTACATAAAGATAAAAAGATGACCTTGTTAATGATATGGCAACTGCAGATTGCTCTATACTAGAGTGATGTTGTCAATGTCTTGTATAAATTTTTGACAGACGCGAGTCGCTATGTTTCAGGAGTATATAGTAGTATATGTAAGTTTTTGAATTTCTTTGTGGCATAGCTTATAACCATAACTTTACGTCGTCTTCAAGAAAAGAAAAAAAAAGAAAAAAGAAAAAAAAAAGACCTCTTATTGCTACGTGTCTTAGATCGTTTGCTTAACAGGTACCTGTTCATTAATTGATTTACTTTATTTTGAGGTTGCGCACTGCATAAAAGTGCACTACGAGTACATATATGCTCTGTGACATGTATTCGTATAGGTACACGTTTTTTTTTTTTTTTTTTTTTTTGGGGGGGGGGGGGGGGGGGCGGGGGCTCACTCAAAAATATCGCCTTCAGTTTTCTAGCTTTCTAGCATTATTACTTTCTCCTGCGTTACTGTCAAAGTGACGCTGAATATAGTTTGTAATCATAAGTTCATGTCATCATTGTGTTCTGTTTTATCCCACATCCAAATTTCCCCATTACATGTCATACGACAGTATTCTCTTTTACCAGCACAAAAATACGACCCTACATATTTAACAGGTGACGCGTCCCTTTTTGAGGTTCTGAGCAAATACAATACACCGCTCCTATTGATAAGGTCTGTTATGACGCACTGCACTAAGCAACAGCGCACCAATGGCTTTGTTACGAGTACCCCCCCCCGGAATACCAAATACATTATATAGTGCCCCTATTCTTTAAAAATCTTTGCCATTACTTTATTTACATACTGAAAGGTGAAATCAATGCGAGGCAGGTTTTACATCAATAACCCGAGAAGGTCGGCGTCTAAACAGCTTTTTGAACTGCCTGGGGGGTAAAGTCACAAGATGGCCGAGAAAGAATTATATAGCGTCTTCAGTGAGAACTTTTTAACGTGTCATATATGTCTGGAGGAATATAAAGACCCGAGAGTGCTCCCCTGTTACCACACGTTCTGTCTGGAATGTATTGCTGACCATGCAGCCAAGAATGGTGTCCAGAACAAGTTCTCCTGTCCCGTGTGTCGCCACGAGGCCCCCGTTCCACCAGGTGGGTTAGAAACCCTCGTGAAAAATTTCTTCTTAAGAAAAGTAACAGACTTCATAAAAGGCCCGAAAACGCCCGAGGGGAGACTTTGTGAGTATTGTAACCATAAAGAGGCCACTTTCATGTGCAAAGTTTGCCCAGAAACCAACCAACTGTGCGCTTCATGTCGTGATGTTCACGACAAAATACCGTTTTGCAAGGGCCATTCGTTTGTATCGCTGTCACAAGTCGATGTCTGCGTTAACCCAGCTAACATGCGAGATCAGTTACGTCACGTATTAGATACAGCTCAATACTGCGACAAACACGACGGAGAACCGCTGGCATTCTATTGTGAAAACGATGACACTGTTATATGCAGGGAATGTATTGTAAAAGTCCACAGCAAACACGATTTCAAAGAGTTAGGGGATGTGGTGAAAGTTCAACGAGATCTAATACAAGAGAAGCTAAAATGTCTTCCTACTGAGAAACTGTCTCGTTTTGAGAAGGCGGAGAATGCCATTGTACGAACGGAAGAGAGACTGACAGAAAATCAGAGAAAGGTTCTTTGTTTGGTGGATTGTCAGAAATTGGCTATGACAAAGGAGATAAAGGAAAACAGCAATACTATAGAAAGAGAACTCGACGATTATTATCAACAAGTAGAGAAAGACGTACGTCAACAGACCGACGCGTATTTAACAAGTGTAAAACTACATTTGAAAACGTATCAAACAAAAGTACAGTCAGATTACATCGAAATGCAGAAAGTTATAGATGACAAAAGCAACGAAATGACGGCAGAAGTTATGGCATTCGCATCAACGCAGGTGAAGACTTTGGAAGCTGAAAAGGACAAGCAAGAAATGAACAAAATTGCCATTCAAAGCATTCGTGATTTCGCCCGGCAGCTAACAGACAAAGGTTCTGACATTGAGGTCATGACACACTCTAAAAAACTCCAAACTAGAATTCAGGAGTTACAGACAGTAGAACCAGTCTTTGATACCAATATCACCAACATAACATTTACACCAGGGAAAACAAAAATGGACGTTCTGCTGCATTTTCCTGAAATTCCTGAACCACAGCTGTCCATCAAAACGGGGTCTTTTACGGCTAAAACACACCGGGGTCCCTTGGATGCATATTTTGGAAGTTTGAAACAAGAGAGGGCGCACTGCCCCGAGCTAATGGTATTTCAGAAGGTCACATGGCTTGAAACGCCAGAGGAAAATTATTGTATTGTTGTTAAGGGCTGGCCCGGGCATATTCAGTGCACAGATGACGGTTGTACTTTAGTTTTACATGGTAATTTATGTTTTGGTTTTACAGTGTCCATATTCTATAATACGTGCGAACGTATTCGTGCGATCCGTATACATGGTAAAGCGATATGTGTCACTACAGTCAGTAATGATAGGTTCGTGGTCACATGCCATGATAAATGCTGTGGACTGTATTCAACATCAGGTCAGATTATTCAACGTTTTGGTCAAGGTGATATGTCTGACCCCTGGGGTGTCACTGTCGACCGTACAGAGGGTAAGGCGTACGTGTGTGATAGTGGTGCACAGTGCATCTGTGTGTACGACGTGATATCTTTTCAACTTGTTAACAGAATTCCTATCCCAATGTGCAGTATAGGCCCACTGCTCTGTGCATTCCACCACGACATCAATGCAGTCATAGTCAGCGACTGCAGGACCCACTGTGTGTATGCAGTGACACCCCAGGGTGACGTCATGTTCCAATACGGAGCACGAGGTAAGAGTGGAAGTGAAGACGGACAACTGAGTAATCCAGGTGGAGTGTGCGTAGATATGTTTGGACACATATTCATAGCTGACCGTGGTAATGACAGAGTAGTTGTGCTTGGTTCAGACGGAAGATTTCTACGTAATATTTTGACAAAGAGTGACAACATTGAACTTCCCATATCAGTCGCTGTCAACAGTAACTTGGAGCTTGTTGTTGGAATCGCCGGAGGAAAAATATCCACGTATAAGTATATAGCTCTGCAATGATGCATAAATTGTGATTACTTTCACTGAAGAAAATGTAATGAGCTATCAACAAACGTGCCTTAAAAGAAACCGGCACCCTGTTCCTTTGATATTTATATTGAAAGTGTGAAAGTTCTAAATAAATATCAACATAAATATCAAAGTAAAGGCCACTGTTGGTAATTGGTACTACTATAAAATGCAATTGGATGTAGAAATAAAGTCAAACGAGTCTTGATTATGCTAATTGTCTTTATTATTATTATTATTATTATTATTATTATTATTATTATTATTTTGCTAAACATGAAGATTCAGCTAAGATTCACCAGGACCCCAAGAGGGAGGGATGCTAGCTAGGACATAGTGATTGAAAGCAAACGCGTTTATGGGGTTACTGAAAAAAAATTAGAAATTAACTACTGTGTAGCCGACAATTAGCATTTGTCGCTGAGCGCTGTTCACGCGTACTACAACGGGATGCCTTATAACAATGTAAGTTGCTGACTCAACTTAATTCACGTCAAAAAGTTGAATTAGCAACCGCAACTCACCCCCCCTACCTTAGAATGTATAATTCAAAGTTGTGAAGTTTATCCCATTATTAAGAGGCATATCGAGTTAAATGCATATACAGACAGATACGCCTCCCCCGCCTTCATCTACATTGTACCTACGCTCATGACTGACCTGACTGAAAAAAAGTTGGATCATCCCCCTAGAACCCCTCCACAATTTTACATCTTTAATATGTGTAGTGGGACGACCAAATTCCGCCCTTATGTACTTTTTCCTGCATTTAATCATTCAATAATGCCTCTATCTTAATGGTGATTAAAAATACAGCTCAAATACAGACTTGACATTTAATATGGAATATTTTTTTTTGAAATAATTTTTTATCAGTTTTTTCCTATTTTGCTGACTGATAAATGAAAATAAGGATTAATATCGTGTTTTAATAACTTTAAATAATCTCTTTGATGTCATTGTGACATCAGTTCATTAATGGAATTCGCCAGAGAAGCAAACAAAAACACATTGCCTATTCTATGTCATTCGACTCCCATTAAAAGAGATATTTTGGATCTCCATATTTTCCAAATTATCGTCTGTAAAAGGGTAATACGCTCCACAAATGACCCTCATGTCAGTTGCTAGTCACAGTAATGCTCGTTGTTACGCCTGGCCTCTTCGTGGCTGTTGCCAGCGCTCTCAAGCGGCAAGGCATTTCTTGGGGGTAGGTTTTTAGAGTTCAATCTGGAATAGCATTCCAGTCATCGGTCTAAAATTGTCCAATCTGGTCCAGTTTTGTTGTAGGACATGTAGGCAGTTGATTGGTGAATAATGGTCTACCGAAATATTGTCTATGTGGTTCAAATGTGGCGATTTTGATGACCAGGGTAGCTGCTCATTCCCTTGGTTCTTTAAGTTATCTGCTATTAAAAGTGCTCTGTGTGAACCATCAACCTCATCGTGCAACTTAGACTTGTTCCTAAGGTGCCCCCTATCAAATGACAGTCAAGTGGTTCCGAGATTATTCCTTTATTTGATCTGGTTCAGGTTTTCGTCGATGACTACCATTGGTGTTTTGGCACCAATGTGGAATCTACTCCAAATATTGACGCTGTGAATCACCCTTGTCACTTTAGACCCGGCATATGCTTCGTCGTAGGTCTCTTCTGGATATCTGTAAACTCTGTTTTGACTAATTGAGCGGTACAGGTGAAATCTGACCTCAATAAAGAAAGCCACGCAGTTTCAGTGTTATACCCAGAATCGTTCATGGCCCCCAATTCATGAGAGAAACAGACGACGATGTTTTGCTGTATACAGTGGGTACCTCGGAGGTCATTTGGTGTTCTTACCTGCTAAGACCAGTTTGGTGTTCGCTAAGGGCTTTGAAAAACGCATTTTAGTGGCAATTTATCCCTCGTTCTGAACGGACTAAATGTTTTTTGTTTAGTTGCAGCGTATCCCGATAGACAGTGGGTCCTGTACCCTGTAGGTTAAATTTTGATATATTGGGGGAGACCTCTGTGTAGGTACATCAGTCTGGGCATTACTCTATAAAACTGTGGGGACCGTTCCGTTTGGCGCTATGATCTGTCTGGTTATGTTTGTCTTTTTCGCGCAATTCTGCCTTAGATTAACAACTTTGTAATGAACTACTTGACTCATTTTACGCACTGCAAAACTGACCGCTTGCATGCAAAATTTCAAATTCTTATATGCAGTAGTTGTCGAAATATGGATACTTTTTTGAAAGAACCAAGCTTTGCCTAAGCCAAGCTTTGATCAGCCCAAAGGAACACTACCCAATTAAATCACTGCAAATTACATAATGTAGCAGCGCAATAGGCATGAAAAACAGTTAATTGGTAGTGACACACCTGACTGCACACTTTTACATTCACAAATCTTATATGAGATAGGATGTTTTTGAAAAAAGAACGTATTTTTACCTAGGTATACCTTCGAAACTGAAATATTCCATATTAAATGTCAAGTCTGTATAAATGCAATGTATGAGCATAGGCATTTGAAAACTTAATCGTCAATTTTAACACCTTTCTATTTTGAGGTGAGATAACAATTGGTATGGGGCGAACAATTTGATTTCATCACAAATATTGGCAGAGTTGACCAGGAGTGTATAGACTACAATGCCTTGCCACATTTTTTTTTTGTTATAGAGTTATGAGCTCCTAATAACCGATTTTCATTAAACAAATCATAATTTTGCTTTATCAGCGATAAATTCTGAACTAAGACTTTTAAGAAAAATCGCTGGCAGGATTTGGAATACTAAATGATGTCATTAAATCGGCGTTAAAATTGTGATCGTGTGTGCTCAGCTACTTGTAAAAGAGAAATTTAAGAAACAGGTTTATTCAGATTTTACACCAAAATCGCAAATATGATGTCACCCGAAAGGTGAAATATGTATAAATGTAAATAGATTTATAGCCATGATCACCAAAGATTTGTTTATTACCCAAACGAATGTATGTAAGGCAGTAAATTAGGAGTTTTGGGCGAAGGGTGACAACATTCTTAACACGTTTTCAGTATAGATCACAATAAACAATACCTAGTGTCTTTGGTTTGTTTTAATATTATTATATTTTTTATGCTGGCAAGCAGCGGATACCTACATTAGTTGTACCTGTATACTTTCAATAGCATATACTTTGTTATTTTCTTGTCTAATATTTCATTGGCTTAATAATTGGCTTAATTGGCTTCTTCTTTGAATTATGAAGCCGCCGATTTCAAGACATAAATGATGTTCGTATATTTTCGTTCCGACGCTCGGCTTGCCCGGCCAGTTACTGCCCCCGTGTCAGCTAATTTACACTGGTTCCTGCAGGTGGTCTTCCAGTAAAGAAGCTCAAACCTCCCGTAGCAGCCCTTTAATTTCATGCACCTGTTCACAGCACACAACTCATATGTTCCGCCGTTGAAATACTCCCCTTCCAGCTTTTTATAGAGTAAAATTTCCTCGAGGTGTTATGGCATATATCGCACGGGTAACAGTGTATTATCTCACACTTAATGCCATTGCAAAAAAAAATTGTTTATATGAACACGATTTGTTTCCGTTGTACTTATTCTAAACACGTTTTACTGAATGGGGGGGGGGGCGGTTATAATTTATTTAATGTCAAAAGAAGATAGGCTGTATATAAATGATAGTAGACGAGTGCTGCGAAATCCTATTGTTCAATAATTCCCGAAAAGATTAAATAGACATCAATATTGTAACGAAATTTATCAAAATATGAAAAACGGTGCTAGTAAAAGTAAAAGTGATAGTTGTTTTGTGTCTTTAGTGAACTAATGAATTTTTAACTTGTTATTCAGAAATACATTCCAATACACTTCCTCGCAAGGTCAGCTAACACTAGGATGAATAAGTCCAGCTGTATAGATGTGATGGAGTGAAGTCAACGAAGTTCACGGTATCCTGTTACAAATAGATAGACATAACATGTTGAGGTGACCGTGATATATATATATAAGAATGTTGTCTAACAACTGGGGTTGATACAATGTTGTTATCTGACGTTGATACGACTTTGTTATTTGACGTTGATACAACTTTCAAATCCAGTGTTAATCCAACATCTTGTCAATGTTGAAACAACATGATTTGCCCTCTGGGATGACCCTTGAGAAATCAGTTTTATTTTTTGGACAATTTAGATGCAAAAGTATTCAATGCCAAATAGTGGAATTCAAGTTTTAATTTAGAAAGTGTGTGTGTGTGTGTGTGTGTAAGGAAACTCTGACCAAACATCCCTCTAAAAATGTAACAGCCACTCAAACTGGGCAGGTTTCTTTCACATAAAGTGAGACAGAAATACCTGAATATATATGTGATATCAAATTTTTTTATTATATGGTATTCGGAGTCCGGTAGAAACTCCCGATGTGACTTTTAGTGTGACTTTTCAGAAAATTAAACGTTTTACTGTTACACAAACCTGCAAGTCAGCTACATTAAATATTAAATAACGCAGCGTGAGGGGAACATTGAATAATACAAATACAAACATTTTCTACAAACAACGTTAAAGAGTTTTTTGCCATACAATGAAATCATATAGTTTTAATTGCAATGTGGAATGTATGGTAAAATATTTCATTACCCACTGCAATGTTTCAAATGCATATCTGAATATTGAGAAATTTTAAAAATAAGATATATATTTTATATATGTAACATTGCCCTTGGAAAAATCCTTTGTATATATGAGTTTGTTGCCGTTGTACTTATTCTAAAAACGTTTTCAGGTAGTAAAATAGTTCCAGGTTAAGTTTTATGATGTTGTTTTTCCGATTCTTTAGAATCCGATTCTTTAGAATAGAAGAGTCGATTGGAAAACGACATGTGCCAGAATATTTATTGATTAGTGCCCACAGTGCGCAATTTTGCCGTACCCCGGGGTAGCGATGTTTTCTGCATTTCTTTCAATTAAACGAGTTTCGTACACATACATTCCATTATAAAAATC